GGGGGGTAGGGTTCGGTAGTGCCATTATACACGTTATTGAAAAAATTTCGATCCATAGTCCCAATCCTAAGTCCCACTTCAGAAAACCAAAGCAAAATCCCAATCCATAGTCCCAGTGCAAAGTACCATTCCAGAAAACCAATCCAAAGTCCCAATTCAGAGACCTAGTGTGGAGTCCCGATCAAGAGTTACAGTCTGGAGTCGTAGTTCAGAGTCGCACTCAGAGCCCCAGTCAAGAGTCCCAGTGCAGGGTCTTAGGCGAGATTATCATTCAAGAGTCCTCGTTCACCTTATATCTCCTAGTCCGAATCTAAAGTCCCCGTCCAGAACCGCAGTCAGAAGTCCCAGAAGAAGGTCCCATGAACGCAGACCCGGAAGAAGACCCTGACCCTGACCCTGACCGTGACCCTGACCCCGACTCAGACCTAGACCCAAACCCTGACCCGGAATCGGACCCTGACCCAGACTTGGACCCAGACCCTGACCCTGAATCAGACCCAAACCCTGACCCAGACAGAAACCGAGACCTTAACCCACACGTGGACCCAGACACTGTCTAAGACCACAACCTTCAAGCCGACCTTAACTGAGATCATCCACCCGGAACTTGTCCCTGAGCCCGACAAGACCTTAACCGGGACAAAGACATTGACCCCGACCAAGAACAAAACCTGACCTGCCCCATGATCCATATAAAGACCCTGACCCAGACCAAGTCCTTGACTTTAACCAAGACCCTGACCTTTACCAAGACCCACACCATGACCCTGACCTAGACCCTCGCCTAGATTGAAAGCAAGACCATGACCAAGACCTTGACCTAGAGCAAGGCAAAGACCTTCACCCACACCAAGTCCCAGACCCTGACCCGAAATCCGACCCAGACCCAGACCCAGACCCTCACCTTGACCCAGAATCAAACTCTTACCCTGACCCAAATAGAGACCTAGACCTTAACCCACACCCAAACCCACACACTGTCTAATACTACGACCCACAACCAGACCCAAACTGAGATGATCCACCCGGAACCTAACCCTGAGCCTGACCAAGACCTTGACCCGGACAAAGACGTTGACCCTGACCATGATCCGGACCTGACCTGCCCCATGATCCATATAAAGACCCTGACCCAGACCCTGACCCAGACCCGGACCCAGACCCGAAATCCGACCCAGACCCAGACCCTCACCTTGACCCAGAATCAAACTCTTACCCTGACCCAAACAGAGACCCAGACCTTAACCCACACCCAAGCCCACACACTGTCTAATACTACGACCCACAACCCGACCCAAACTGAGATGATCCACCCGGAACCTAACCCTGAGCCTGACCAAGACCATTACCCGGACAAAGACGTTGACCCCGACCATGATCCAGACCTGACCTGCCCCATGATCCATATAAGGACCCTGACCCAGACCAAGACCCTGACCTTAACCATGACCCTCACCATTACATGACCCTGACCTAGACCCTCGTCTAGACTGAAAGCAAGACCATGACCCACAGCTTGACCTAGAGCAAGACAAAGACCTTCACCCACACCAAGACCCAGACCCGGACCCACACCAACACCCAGACCCTGATCCTGACCTAGACCTAGACCCTGACGAAGATCAGCACCCTGACCAAGAGCAAGACCTTGACCCAGACCAAGACCTTGATCCAGACCATGACCCTCATCTATGCTACGATCTTGACCAAGACCAAGACCCATGGCGAGAACAAGACCCTAACCAAAACCAGGATCCTGATCCACATCAAGACCCTCACCCTGACCAAGAGCCTACCTCAGACCAGGATCATGAACAAGACCCTGACCCACAGCCATACGAAGACCATCATCCAAACAAAGACTGCAACCCACACCAAACCCGTACACTGTGTTTAGTCTAACATAGCAATCRACATATACATCATGCTGCAACCCTCATTATGACGTCAACATCGATGTTGGGTCCCAAACGCTTCGTTGGCTTCGTTGACAATTTTTTTTATCTCAGCCGAAACAAAGGCAACCTGCATACCCAAACTACAAAAATCCACTCTCCTGCCTGCGCTGACCCAGACAAGATCCCGACTCTCTCTCTCTCTCTCTCTCTCTCTCTCTCTCTCTCTCTCTCTCTCTCTCTCTCTCTCTCTCTC